AAAGAGAAAAGAAAGAATATAGCAATACTAGATAATAGAAAACAGCAAAAAGAAAGAGGCGTACCCATTATCATACATCATTCTGACTGTTTATAACACGAAGAAAGCTATAGAGATCCAAATACTGTTTGATAAAAACACACACGAGGACGTAATGCTTTTAAACACAATAGTTGCGAGAGGAGGAACAAAAAGAACAGGGAAATACCTAAATTACAGCATTTTCTCATACTCATAAAACACATATCAGTAAAACATCACAGACCTTTTCTTTACAATCGAGTCTATTAAGTGTAAAAAAGAACAATCCATGTAACGTGTAATCAAAGATCTATAACTTACAGTCGAGTCTTAAATTTTCCTTTAGCTCCTCAAGATGGCAAATATAATATTATCAGCTGCTGCTGCTCTACTTCTTGCTGTGATTGTAACAAGTTCTGCAAAAATGTCAGCATATGATCTCGGTCGATGTATCATGTCGGAGGGCTCAATTGGTTATCTGGCTGAAAAGACAGCACTAGCTTTTGTCTGTCAACGAAACTCGAAACATGCCAGAAATCAAGAGCCGTCAACCGCAGTTCTCAATTTGGCCAAACGTGTTTTAGCTGGTAAAATCCCCGATCTCACTAAAGGTGCAAGTCATTGGTATTCGCCAAGATCAATGCCATCAAGTGCACAAAAATCAAAATGTTCGCCTCCGATAGGCACCGGAAACATGGACTGTCGTGGCGGTTTAGAGAGCGTTTGTTCACCGAGCGTTAAATCGTACAAACCAAGTTGGGCAACTAGAGGTTACATTGAGATAAGTGGGGTCCGACCGTGCTACTTTAAATTTCATAAATTGTAAATGGTACATCGTCTTTTCTAAATAAAACCATATGAGAGGTTAAGTTCTAAACAATTTCATAATTTCTTCAAAGATGCTTCGACTTTTTTCGCGGATGAATGATTTTTTGTTTTTTTTCTCTTTACTCTCTTCTCGCGGTTCTTATCTTTTCTGCATGGTGGCACTGCATTTACAAGCCTTTGGTTTTTTTTGTGCTTTCCTTTGTTTCGAGATGTTTTCTTGGGCATAAAATAAAATTTCAAGTTTCAAGTTTCAAGAAAAGAAATAGTTTCACATGCTATGATCATACTCATATCTACCTTGTCTATAAGTTTTTCAAATCATCAGAACAAGCTGTTCTTAGATCGACAAGACTTTCAACGGTGAATCTGGATGATAATAACACGAATTGACAATCACAAAAGTGAAATCTTCGTTTTGGCAAGCCAAATCTAAGATTTGACTAAATTCCACTTTTGGCTACTACAGTTATATTTGTCTTTTCTCTCTTTCTTTATATCACATAGCTGACTAAATTTTACAATTTAGTTATAGATGTTTGTATATTCTTTTCAGCGTGTGTTAAGTTAAAGTGTAGACACTTTATTCTTTAATACACAAAAAATTTTACATAAGCATCGACTAGATTTGTTGGCACGCATATCGATTCGCAGGTTAACAGATTTACTTTGTTGCCCATTCTTCTCTTCTGGTTCATAGGCACTAGAAGTCAGATCAAACAGATCTCTGATGAGTGCAAATCAGTTTCTGGATTCGATCCGTTAGAAGCATTGATCAAAATTGTTTTGAAGCTAACGATAGGTTTTTCAAGGTGAGCGCGGTCTGCTGAAGCAATTTGAAAAAAAGAAACGAGAACTTTGTTTTCAAGATGTGTGTATTCTTACCTACTTCCTCTGCATCCATACTGTAATTTGGAATTATTTTCTACTTTATAGAAAATCGGTCTGGAAAATTGCCAAGAATTTTCCAACTTCTATAAAATCCTCAGCGATTTTCTGACTGCTTACGAAATATCGTTAGAAAATGTTGATTTTCTACTTTTCCGACTGACATTAATAGTGAAAAAATATTTTAAAAACACACTTTTATAGCCCGTGAGAAATTCTATCTATTAGAAAATCTCCTTGATTTTCTATGAATTGACTTTTCTCATTTGCCAGAAAATCGATAAGGAATTTGTAAAAAGTTGGAAAATCGAATTCGATTTTTTAATAAGATCAATCGGTCATTTTTTTCTTGCTTCTTTCACATCTATTAAAGTCTTCATTGCAACAAGTTATCCTGTAACAGATCTCTGCTCCTTTTAGTATTCAACATCGGAAATGTTATTAGATTCTGAAAGTTCTCTCAGTTTTTGCAAATCAGCATACTCTTCGAGAAGTATTATTGTTGTATGACGCTTAGAGATCGCAAAGAGATACTGATAAGGCTCTTGGGTTAGGCCTGCTTAAGACGAAGTGGAGTTCCACCGTAACTTTCTAAAGATTGCAAAGCGATTCGCTTTTGCTAATATTCCTCATTTTTATGTCTGAATTTATCATCTTCCAAAAATGTAGTTGGTTCTATTAACTCAAAGACATGATCTTAACAATCCACATTTATTTTCTTTATTTTTTAAATAAAATAACACCAGTAAAACAAAACAATTACATTAAAAAAATTCATAGTCTTACTATGAAATTCATAGTATCGCACTATCATAGCTTCATAGTTTCGCAGTATCAGGATAATACTGTGAATATCATAGTAATACTCTGAATTTCATAGCAATACGATGAGTTTCATAGTGTCGCAGTACCATAGTATGACTTTCATAGTTTCATACTCTATTCACCTAAGATGAAGTAGTGCAGCGGTGTCTTGTAACTCACTCTCATGCTGCCGGCCCCTTCTCCCCCGGCGCTCCGGGTAGTCAGGTATGATAGTGTGACCTATTGTAGTGATACTGTGAAATTCATAGTATTGCTGTGATAGGGTGAAACTATGAATCAAGCAGACATAAATGTTTCAAAACTCGAACAAAAATTGAATTGGGTTTCAGCTAATAAACCAAAGATATGGTACAGATATGCTGACGATGTATTATGTATTTTTAACAAAAAACAAAACATCAACGACTTTTTAATTCGAATTGATGATTGGTATTCCAACATAAAGTTTACAGTCGAATTAGAGAATAATGAATGTTTACCATTCTTAGATTTATTGATAATACGTGAAAATAACAAATACGAAACTACAGTTTACAGAAAATCTACCACAACTAATTTGTATTTACTCTGTGATAGTAAACAAGCAAAAAAATACAAACTCGGACTAATCAAATCACTCTATGTTCGATCCTTACGCCTCTGTTCGACAGAATCTCACCTCAAATCAGAACGCGAACATTTGATTAGAACATTGAAAATGAATGACTATCCAACTCATATAATTAGACGTAGTATAAGAGAAGCACTTATGATTTATAAGAAATTGAATTCCTGTTCATCATCTCAACCTCAAACTTTAAGAAAAAAAATCTATTTCGTTTTCTCTTATTACGGGCAAGAAACTATCGAACTAGGACAGAAGATTCGCAAACTCACTCAAAAAGTCCTTTCAAATGTGATAATAAATCTAGCCTACCGAAAATCATTTACATTTAAAGACGTGTTCTTGCCATTACAAAAAGAGAAAGATGAAACATGAACGAAAAAGAAAGTTATTCTGTTCAATGTAAAAATTGTGATCTAAAATATATTGGTGAAACGAATCGTGATAAGCAAACAAGAATGCGTGAACATAAAAATGACATAAAGAAAAATAAACAAACATCATTAATAGCTCAACATTCGAATATGAATAATCATATGATGGACTTAGACAATGCTGAAATACCAGAGTCAACCTGGAAACGACGTGTAATAAAAGAGAACATATTAACACATCAATCAAAAGACTTGGCAATAAATGAAACTAATATAAACTTAAAGTATTTGGATAAGCACTCAATGGGTAAAATTTTACGCGCCCGAAAATAATGTTCTAAAGAACATAAGAACGTTCTTATATACACACACACACACATAGATAGACACAACGTGGTTCCTTGGTTTCTATCACTCTTTTTTCGCCTTTGCGAACTTTAAATGTATATCGTTTTCCACTATGTAAAAATAATCTTATTTCTGATGATGACGGTAGATTCTATCGAAATATCAAAATAAATTTCACTATGATTAGTTAATCATGATATTTACAGCAGTTTTATATTTCATTTTTCAATGGTAGTTGTCACTCACTTATGTCTGTCAACAAGTATAAATGCGAGTGTGCATTGGGATTCAGTGGAGAACACTGCGAGAAACCTAACATGTACATTAATTTTACAATTATAAAAGAGACAAAATTTCTAAATCCGTTAACGATTCAATTATTAAAAGTGGCCAGAGATTACGCTGGATTGAGGTTACAACTGATAGCGCGTCCAACATGACTGCCATTCACGATAATAAACAACGTGAATGGTAAAAACTCAGTGCTTAATAATAGGCCAGACATGGGACTTGTTTTGCACTATTCAAAGGAGACATCATATCTTTAGAGCGAAAGGCTAATAATGAGAACCAAAACAAAATGAAGATATGAAATGTAACGTAAAAAAAGGTAGTATTAGAGATCTTTTGCTACATTTTTGTACGAATTTCAATACAAAAGTATTTAGAGAATCACAGAAAAGGTCAAAATAGTGAAACGTGATGCGACACTGGAAGGACATTGTAGCCACCTTTTACGTATAGCACATGGATATATGTCTTTTTTCGCAGTTAAACTATTTTCACTAATCATCCTTGGTATCGGAAATAACATTTTAACAAAGAGAAATGATATTTCTTACAAAATTCAATGTTTTTCGAAATAAACCCAAAATGAAATCTAAACCAAAGTATTTTCCCCCAAAAATAAAATTCATGTACATCGTTGAGTGCAGCTAACGGGCTAAATATCAACTTTTGTTTGCGGAAAAAATAACGTTAGTATAATAATTCATGGTTGAGGCCATTAAATCTAAAAATACTAAAAGACTAGAAATTTCTAATATCTTTCTATTTCGCCACTAACATGATTTATACATTCGATATCTAACAGAATATTTGAGTAAAGTTTGAAGTACTTTCCATGAATACGTTACGTTGCTCATGATATGTTGTTTTCTCTTATAGTTTCTGTACAAATTAGGGATCTTTTTCGTTGATGAGATTATCAAAGTGAGTTAAATATCCGAGAAACATTTTGCTGGATATCGCCGACGTATTCAGCACTTTTTCTCAGTTATATAAGTGTTTAAGCATAAGTTTTTACTGTAAAATTATAGGCCAGACATTACTGATTACCAGCCATAATGAATTTCAAAGGTTTTACTTGGAGTTTTT